CGAGGCTTCCTGGCCTTGGGGCGGCCGGGCGTCTTCTTGGTGGGGCGACGAAGCGTTGGCGTCAAAGCTGGCAAGGCAGGTAAGCGTAGGTAAAACTGGAAATGAAGTCAATGGTTTAGTTCTAGAGCTTTCAGCGATTTCCATGTTTAAGCATTAGTACTAGATAGTTCAAAGTAGTAATCCACGTCGCAAGCACTGACCTCAGTGCTTGCAACATGACTCACGTCGGAGACACATCTCAGTGCTTAGCACTGAGATATGGAAATTCCTCGCAAAATGAAGACTGAGATCTGAGCGGGCATGCAAGAGTGGTTGCAGATACAGCAGCTATCATTATAAAACGTTGAGTATATCGAGGCTGAGACTTATATTCGTACCCTTTTTTTGCCAGGATTTGCTGCATTTACAGACACTTCTATACTTAGTCTGAGCCTTTTCCTTTTCCTCATTGTATTAATACATGTACAAGCATTATACTACAGCAGTCACTGAGAAGTGTACGTGAGTACAGTACTACGTAGTAGAATGGTTGTCGGTGGACGCCAAAAAAACGCAAATGTCTACCAAACCACGTCAAACCCAAAGTCCAGTCTATCAAAAAATGCATTGGTTCGTTTATCTATGCGTTCATCTTGAGAGTATGAGTGTAAGCTAGCAGCTGATGTGACTCCCACGCCACGCTCATTAACTTACATCTGGATCTTACTGAGATACTGCACCAGACACAAATTATTGTGCAACAATTTCTGCAGGTGTTGCCACTGCTGCTGCTGCACGGCACCCAACTCGTCCACCTGGGCCAGCAATGCCGGATCCGCTACTAACAGCTCCTCGTGCAACTTAAGAAATCGGTTCAAGTACGCCTGGAGCACTTGGAAGTCACGACGTGTCTGCATCTCCTCACGCAGGAAGTCCAGGAACCAACTGAGCAGCTTCTTGCCCTCTTCGTCAAAGTCACCCATGCACAAAGTGCTCATCTCAACGTCCACTGCCGACGCAGACAACGACTGCATGTACTTGGCCACCTCATTGAAGCGCGAGACTGTGTGGTCCTCATCTTCCTCCTCCTGCACAGCCTTAGCCAGCAGCGTAGCCAGTTTACAGCGAGTTGTTACCATACCCTCCGTCTTGACAATACGTGAGCTAGGAGTGGCCACTTCATCTTCTGGTTCCTCGCCATCATCATCACCCCACGCTTCGTCATCGTCACCAACGCCCCAGCCATCCATAGCGAGGTCTTTCTCGTCTTTCTCCGTCTCCTTCTTCGCTTCAGGCGCAACAGGTACGAAAGTCGGGTGCACATCGTCCTTGCGTGCTGTCTGAAGGAAGAAAGGAGCTTGTTCGGGCGCCTTAGGAGGCTCAATCGGCTTGTTACGTTTCTTGATAAGTTCGAGGTTGAACAACGACTGCCAGAAAGCACGCGGGGCGGTTGATAGAGTAATAAGCGACGTGTCAAGTGGCTCAGAGCTCTCTTCACCTTCCACCTTGACACTCCCTGGTCGCTGTTCAACAACACTTGATACGGACAGTTGAGGGTTGCGTTCAGTGCCGAATCCGAGCTGGTCGCTGTTATCCACTTCGTTGAGAGACACAGGCATGTCCATAAGAATGGGCTCCGTTGGCTCTGAGTCCAGGAAGACCTCCGTGAAGAAGCTTCGGTTCGCCCAGAGGAAGATGCCAACGTGGCTCACGTGTGTGGTAGCGAGGAACTCGCCCGTCGGAGACACGGCCAGACCAGTCACAGGCTTCTGGAAGCGCATCCAGTCGACGCACTTACCCGTCGGGATATCCCACACACGCAACGAAGCATCAGCCGAAGACGAGAACAACCACCGAGCATCCGAACTGAACGTCATGTCCGTCACACGGTGTGAGTGACCGGCAAAGCGACGTACAAGCTTGTGGGTTGTCACGTCATATAGACGCAGAACTTGGTCGTCACACGCCACGCAGAGCAAGTTGCTGTCACGATGCAGCTCCATCTGACTAATCGGAGAGCCAACGTCGATCTCATAGCGTAGCTCGTGCTTCTTAAAGCCCCAGAACTTGAGTTTCCCGTCAATACCAGCAGACACCAGCGTCTCGTTCAGCGCGTCGACAGCCACCGCGCTAACTGGTCCGTTGTGAACATCCGCAGCGGTCTTATCAGCCTCGTCGTCCTGCAGAGCAGACAAGTCCGTGCCAGGTAACACTAGCGAACGAATAATCTTCTCCTTTGGCGTCGCTGCTACCGGATACGAGCCACGCTTCTCACCGGACTGCATGTTGTATCGGAAGATGGATCCACCCAGACTGCCAACAAATGCGTAGTTACCGCAGGAACTGATAGCAACACTTATAGCCTGTGTCTTCTTACGACGCAAGTCCTCAGCACTTCCGGACGGCACGCGGTTGGTCGGATCGAACTGACGAAGCACCTTCTTGCCGATAGCACGGTGTTCGAAGCGCCACACATAAGCAGCAATCTCGTTCTCGTGGCACGTGATGACATTTGCCCAGTCACGAGCACGAGTCTCCATAGAAGCGAACTGCACAATGGGCGGCAGCTTCAAGTCCTCCACGCGAACATTCAAGCTACGAGCCTTCTTAAGGACCGGACCCTGGGACAGCTCCCTGCTCTGCTGTTCACGAGCTGTGTGGAACACACGGAAGGCACGATCCTGACCGGCCGATAGAATCTGGCAGCATGTACCGTCAGCACCATCCGCCATCGTAGCTAGAGTGTTGTTGCCGTAGTAGCGAATACGCGTCGGCGGGGCACGGTGGCCTTCACGAGACTTGAGTAGGCGAGCCGTACCTCCGTTCAGATGGTCAAAAATCCACATCTTGATGGAGTTATCAGTTCCCGAAGACAGCAACAACGGTTCGTTCGCTAAGAACTGCAGCGAGACTACAGCACCGTCGTGAGCACCCGCAATAACCGACTCCAGACGTTTAGTCTGCAGGTTCCACACTGCAATGTCACCCGATCGCGATCCAGACACCACCAATGGGGTCGTTGAAGCACCTGTATCTGTACGGAATGACATGGATGTTATTCCGCTTTGTTGATCCTGCTTGAAGTCCAGAACACGCTCGTCCAGCTGCAGGTGATGCACCATAAGGCGGCCATCGGCCAGTCCGATACTCACCACGTCCACTGCAGGACTCTGCTCCAGTGCCGTGACGGCGCTTCCCCATCCCTTGAACTCGTAAATGCACTTCATCTTGCGGATATTCCACAGCTGAAGAGCTCCTCGCTCTGATCCCACTAGAACCTTGTTCAGATAAGTGTCCGGGTGCAGCATCACGGTCGGTGTAAAGCCCACTGGGAAGCTTAGCGTGTCCACGAGTTCCATTGTGTCGAGATCCCAGATTTTGATGTCTCGCTCGTCGTCAAGAGCGAAGAGGACGTTGCCCACCGCCATCATCTGCTTGATAGTTCCCTTGTGGCCCAGCAGCGTCTTAACGCGCTGCACACGCTTCCACACAATGATTTGCCGTCCACAAGCCGTGAATGTCAGGTGCTTCTTAGGTTGCACAGCCAACGCCGCGATGCGCTTTGGTAGCTGGGGCGACACCAGTACGGGTGTGAGCTTATCGCAATTGTACACGACGAAAGACTTGCCAAGCGACGCCGTGGCGAAGCTGGCCTTGCCCATGCCGTACCACACGATTGGGACATCGTCGGCTACAACGCCAATAGCGCGGAAGGCCTGGAGCACGCGGCTGTTCTGGGCACGAATCAACTGGTCAGCAGACATGTCTTCAGGTGTGATTTTCGACGAATATAGTTGGTGTTAGAGTGTCCAACTTGCAAGATTATAAAGAGGAAAGTCTGCGCTTTATGACGAGCTGCTGGTCACTGCGAGGTGGCGATAATTCACGCAGTGGGAAACAGTAGCACACGGACAGTAGAGCAGCCACTGAAGTTGCTGGCGAGCAGCTCCAAAATGACTGGAACCTAGCATTTCGTATTTAGGTGGGATTGTGTGGACCACTTCGGATGGACTATTTTCTAAGCATCACAAATCTTTTGTGTGAAAGGGTAGCATCAATTTTTGAACATGGATCACTAACATGACAGTCTCTATCCTTGTGCTTGGTGGTGGCAGTGGGTTCTGGCAACATCGACTTGTACAATACCTACTCGGAGGTTTTAGCCTTCTTGGTGGGCGATCCCGTTGCTGCCGCGGCAGCAGCAGCAGCGTCACCTGGAGCTTCGGCATCGCCGTACGTCAGAGCACGCTTCTGTCGGGTCTTGCCCAGCACCTTCCGGGCCAGCTCGTTGCCCCAGAACCGCTCGGCAAGCTGCTTTCCAAGCTCTTCGCATTGGTCACGCGGTCCTGAGATCGTGTCTGTGATGATTGCAAGGTGAATAAGTACCATATAGCAACACAACAAGGACCTTTTTGGCGTACCGTGAACACTCTCCTTGCCATCGCGAGACAACACCGTAGAGTTCAGCGTGAGCGTATCTCCGTCCAGCGTTGCACTCACGCCCATAGCGATCTTAAATTCAGCAACACTGTTATAAATCGCCACTTACTATCCTATCAAGTCTATACAGCACTGACCTGGCATCCGCCTTCGAGGTGGTAGAGCAGACTACGCTCCGCCTTGCACAACTGCGCCGACTTTTCATCTGTAATGGTCTTAAGCATCTCGATCGTCTTCAAGACACCGAAAAAAATAAACAATCAGTAATCATACACCGTTTCACAACTCCATACCCCTGTCCTCACCTCCTCGTCGTCAGCGCGGCATTCCACACCAATACTTCCTTGGCCCACACCATACCCGAACGTGTCCATCGGCAGGATTTCATCAATTCGATCTCCTAGTTCTCCACGTCGGAACCCACAGGCAGCAACGATAATGGCGTCATAGTCGTCGTGCTCGTCCAGCTTGGCCAATCGGGTCTGGATGTTCCCGCGCACTGTCTTGATCTCAAATGTCGGGAACTGACTCCGCAGCAGCGCTTCACGTCGCAATGAGCTGGTGCCAATAACGCTTCCCTCGGGCAAATCCTTTAGTGTCTTAATCCCCTTTTCCTTGTGCTTGGGGTGGATCACTGCAGCGTCCTCGGGACTCTCGCGCTTCGTAATGGCGGCCAACACGAGTCCGTCCGGCAGTGTCGTAGGCATGTCCTTGAGCGAGTGCACGGCAAAACTAGCGGTTTTGGCGAGCAGCGCCTCCTCCAAGCTCTTAGTGAAGAGGCCCGAGGCTGTGGTGGTGCCCAGGTCGCTCAGGTGGCGGTCCAGCACTTGGTCGCCAACGGTGTCCTCCTGCCCCACGACGAAATTTAGGTTCGGGAAACGCTCCTCGAGCATGGCAATGACGGTGTTGGTCTGCGCCATGGCCAATTGACTCTTGCGAGAGGACACGAAGATGGTGCGCTTGGCGGATGTGGGCGAGGACTTGGGCGACGTCATTACGGGAATTTGAATTGAGGACTGTGCGGCTGCCCGCGCTCGTGCGTGGCAAGTTGGTGTGTCGATGATGTGGCTGCAAAGAGACAGGTAATTACGTCAGCGTACAAAATCTAACAGATGTTCTTTCAGATTTTATTTAAGAAAAACAAAACACCTAACGCAGTATTTTACGGCAGTACCGGTACTGCCCTTTTGCTTTTTTTTTTTTTTTTTTTGAAAAAGAGCAAAATCACTTTTTGTATGATTGCACATTTGTGTCGTTTGAGCGATTTTTTTTTTTTTTTTTTTGAAAAAGAGCAAAATCACTTTTTGTATGATTGCACATTTGTGTCGTTTGAGCGACACCAAAAAACATATTTCCAAACGTGAGCAAAATAGCGTGTGTTCAGCAACCAATACACTATAATTTCTAATTAGTGGTGCGTGTTCGTTGAGAATTGCCATCTAAGAATCCTACATACCTGTATTAATAATTACTCATGGTTACTCGATGAGAGCACTATTCGCGAAGAGGACATTATTCAGCAATTTCGTTAGCTATAATTTTGATTCTAGCCTTTTAGTCTGCTTTTACGCTTTTTTTATCAGCATTCATTTTAAAATTGAAATTAAACAGGGCTGTGTTGGGACTGTGATAGCACCCAGATTACGACAAGTTAAAATTATCAAATACTCGTCTTAATAAGCTCAACGCGTCTTGTGTGCTTGCAAGTCAAAGATAATTTTGTAAACAAGTAAGCTTGACAACATTTTATTATAAGGAGACAGCCTACAATATAAGGATTGTTTTAAAATGGCAATACTTATTTAAAAAAAAGTGTGCCATGTTCGACAATCATTTATGTTAGTGCTGCAAAACGACGTAACAATTAACTATTTCGTAAATAACAGGAGCAATTCGACCCCCTTTCATGTGTTTTGCAAAATCAGAGAGTGAACTCACAGCGAAAGAGATGAATGCCTCTTCCCTGATGAAAGTTCAGCTTTCCCATCCAATCATATCTTGAAACATGCTATTAACTACCAATCAGAATAAGCAGATCGCAGCGTTTTTAGAGTGACAGTTTTTTTTTTGCACCCTGTGCCAACTTATTGAAAATGATTGACTGATTGGTTGATAGATTGATTTGGTGTGACTAAGCTAGTTTCTATCCTCGTTTCAATACAAATACCTCAAACTTGCACATTCATAACATTCCAACATGGTCCGCATCTCGTTCAGCTTTGACGACGATGAGAAGCTTATGCAGCTTGTAAGAGGATACGAAGATGCCAACCCAATGATCTCCTGGACTGATGCTGTCCACCACATGCGCCACACTGGTCATACTTCGGCACCCTGCAGCAGTGGCTAAGAACGCTACGACGAACCAATGGATATCAGCTAGCTACCTACCCATCAAGCTATTTCACACCTATCCACAGGCCACGAGGTCGGCTGCTGGCTGTCACTTGCTTGTTCCGAGCGCTCACAGCTTCCTCGCGATTGCGGAGGACTCCGCCAGCAAATACGTCTAGGTTGTTACCACAGCAAAACCGTAATCTGTGCTAGCCACAGATGCCTGTCCACCTGCACCACTTGCGATTGTACAGGCAGCGTTCGGGCATAACTCGGAGCGATTAGTGACACCAAAATTCGCAGGTATTTCGAGAGATGTCGTTGTGAAATACGATGAAAAGCCTATTCACAAGAATTTGGGTGAAGTGATGCCTGCGGGAACCCCAATGCAACTACAGGAGCTGAAAGATGTTTGCAGCGGTAAGACCTTACTGGACATCGGTTCAGTGCTGGGAAACGTTGTAGTACAAGTCATGCTTTCAACCGCGATAAACAGCGTGATTGGAATTGAGTTGAAAGCAGACGTTCATCGAGCAGGCCTAGACATTATGTAGAGCAGTTCCTAGTAGTGGGCATTAAAAGACAGAGCGTCACTTATTTCTAAAAACGTCATGAGCGTTCGTCTGGTGAAGCTTGGGAGTAAGCATTGTGTACTGGAACAATTTTGCTGTTCGATCCAAAGGTTGTTGATCATGTCAAGGACCAATTCCGCGCTATGGTAGATCGTTGGTGAACCTATGCCCTAGCCACCGTTTGTACTGCTCCTCTAAGTTTTGATAGCCTTCAGGCTTGTGAAAGTCTATGATGTC